GGCGGCGACACACACAAACACAAACCCCACCCACCACCACACACACCACACCATGGTGTATAATGAGCAACAACAAGGAAGCCAAGTACGGGGAGAGGAGGGTCAGGCAGCATCTGCCTCGCCCTCGGGCCTCTCAGTCTAGAGGGGGAGCGACATGTACCTGGGCACTCCCACTCGGATAGGTGCTAGGACAGACTGCCCTGCAGGACAGAGGGGCCCATTTAGCTCAGGGCAGCGTCAGGACGTCCTGCAGCGCCTGGGAAACAAGCGCTGTCCTGCCTCCTGGAGCTCACGCGCTACACCAGGCCCAGCTAAGCACTCACGCACTTAGGCCCACCAGGCTTTGCAGAGGGGGAGACTGAGACCCAGAGAAGGTGAGCCACTTGCCCAAGATCACACAGCAGGGACTGGCAGAGCAGAATCTGAATTCTAGAGGGTCTGGCTGCCAGGTAAACCCTCCTGGTTCCACATGGTTCAGGGTGGGCAGTGGTGGCTGGAGTTAAGGTCAGATTCACTGGGAGGGGCTGAGAGATTCCTGCCCGGCCTCCCTCAGGCCCAGGTTGTCAGCCATCCCAGCCAGCGTCCACACTGTCGCCAGCTTAGTGTAGAAGGATCCAGCCAGGGTCAGGGGTGAACCAGAGACCAGGAAGGAGACAGGATCCCTGGCGGCCGAGGTTGTCATGGGCAGAGTGAAGGGGTTAGGACCTGGGCCCAGCCCCGCACTGAATGGCCCCCACCCCACTGCAGGTGAGCGGCGAGAGGGGGTCAACGCCTCGGTGAGTTCCGACGTGCAGTCAGTCTTCAAGGGGAAGACGTACAGCCAGCTGCAGGTCATCTTCCAGGGCATCGAGGGCAAGATCCGAGCCGGGGGCCCCAACCTGGACATGGGCTACTGGGAGAGCCTGCTGCAGCAGCTGCGTGCCCACATGGCACGTGCCAGGTGAGCAGGGGCCTCTCCTGGGAGCCATAGGCCAGCGCCACGGCCTGAAGGGCCCCGCCTGGCCTCCAGCAGCCTGCCTGACTTCCTTCCTGCCTCTGCTGAGCACCTGGTCTTTGTTTTTCCTGGGTCGGCAGACATCACAGGAAGCCCCTGAGGCCGTTGTCCCCCACCTTCCACGGCCCCACACCCCAGTATACGAATTCTTGGCATGCTTGGCACCGCCATGTAAACACTGCTTGTCTGCCGTCAAGTGCAGTTGCTGCTAAATTTATCCTCTTCCTCACTGCCTGTGTCCTGTTCCAGCCCAGCTTGGCCATTAAGTCACGCCTGCGTGTGAATACCCGAGGACAGGGACCTGCCACTTCTCTGCCAAGGGATGGCTGTCTGGGGTCTGTGACCCTGAGTCCCATTTTTCTAGCGACCAAAACCTGGGCCCTGGACTGGCCGTTCCTGTCAGGGTCTCCGTCTGTGCCATGGCCACTGGTTGGTTGCCCTCTCAGACTGCATGTCCTTGCAGCAAGAAGGGGTGGTCATGAGAGAGCCTGGGGGGTGGCGCCCCTTGCCCTCGGAGTGTCAGGGTGACCACCTGGCCTGTGTTCCAGGCTCCGTGAGCGGCACCAGGACGTGCTGCGGCAGAAGCTGTACAAGCTGAAGCAGGAGCAAGGGGTGGAGAGTGAGCCCCTGTTCCCCATCCTCAAGCAGGAGCCACAGTCTCCCAGCCACAGGTAGGCCAGCGGCTGGACAACCCCACCAGGCTGGGGGCCCTGCCTGCCTCTGAAGGGGCTGGGCTGCACCGACTGCCCGCCCGGCTCAGCCCAGCCCTCTCTCTGCAGCCTGGAGCCTGAGGACCCGGCCCCCACCCCACCTGGGCCCTCCTCAGAGGGCGGCCCCGCGGAGCCGGAGGGGGAAGGGGCGGCGCCCACAGAGGGTGAGGCGGACGGAGAGGCAGTGCTCAACGAGGAGGACCTGATCCAGCAGAGCCTGGATGACTACGATGCCGGCAAGTACAGCCCGCGGCTGCTCACGGCCCACGAGCTGCCGCTGGACGCCCACGTGCTGGAGCCAGACGAGGACCTGCAGCGCCTGCAGCTGTCCCGGCAGCAGCTCCAGGTCACAGGTGTGTGCGGGGGGAGGGGGGGGCTCCCGCCCGGTAGGGGGTCTTGATGGGGAACCTGCTCCTGATCCTCTCTGAGCAGAGGCTCGTTCACTGTCTCGCCCGTTCATTTGTTCTGGGCGGGACGGCGGGTCCCAAGGACACAGGGATGGCAGGTTTTCTTTCTGTGCCCAGCTCTGCTCCGAGCTCCATACACCACATGCTGGCCGGGCCCTGGCCTCCCTGGGCATCGTCACCCGTACAGAGGAAAATCGCCGGGGAAAGGCCCCTTCCCTGGGGTCCCCCTGCGGGTCTCTGACCACCTGGCACTTCAGCCAACTCACAGGGACACATGGTGTTTGATGCCCGCCCAGGAGGAAGGGGGAGCGTTGGGGGCCTGCCCCTCAGCGGGCCTCAGCTCCCCTCGCAGGAGGGCCGGGAGGGTGGCGGTGCCGGGTCCAGGTTAATGTGCCCCACCCGCAGGCGATGCCAGCGAGAGCGCAGAGGACATCTTCTTCCGGCGGGCCAAGGAGGGCATGGGCCAGGACGAGGCACAGTTCAGCGTGGAGATGCCGCTGACCGGCAAGGCCTACCTGTGGGCGGACAAGTACCGGCCGCGCAAGCCGCGCTTCTTCAACCGTGTGCACACGGGCTTCGAGTGGAACAAGTACAACCAGACGCACTACGACTTCGACAACCCGCCACCCAAGATCGTGCAGGGCTACAAGTTCAACATCTTCTACCCCGACCTCATCGACAAGCGCTCCACGCCCGAGTACTTCCTGGAGGCCTGCCCCGACAACAAGGACTTCGCCACCCTGCGCTTCCATGCCGGGCCGCCCTACGAGGACATCGCCTTCAAGATCGTCAACCGTGAGTGGGAGTACTCCCACCGCCACGGCTTCCGCTGCCAGTTCGCCAACGGCATCTTCCAGCTCTGGTTCCACTTCAAGCGCTACCGCTACCGGCGGTGACACCCCGGCCTCCTCTCGGCCCCCCCTCTGGGACCCAGAGAGCCGGCGGGGGGCGTGAGGGGCCTGCAGTCCCCTCTGGCTGGGCCTTGTCCTCACAGGGCCTCCCTTCCCCGGCGTGAGCACGGGCCACGGGAGAGCCTGCCTCAGAGAGCTGAGGGGGCGATGGGATCGGGGGGTGCTGATGGGGTTGTCAGAGCCCAGGGAACCCAGCACGTGTCCACCGGCCTCAGTTCTCTGACCGCCGCCCGAGCCCCATCTGAGACAGACCTCACGTGGCGTGCCCTGAGCTGGGGCTGCAGGGGGCTCACCAGGGGCAGGTCACTGAGTCCAGATCGTCGATCAGTCCCTAGACACAGCTGGCAGCTGCAAGACCAGCAGGACCGGAGCTCCAGGCCCTTCCCGCAGGCTGCCTTCCTCGGACCCGTGAGTGCACCTTCCAGGAGCGTGCATCCGGGACACCTGGGCTCTGCGGTCCCCCCAGCTCGCCCCTGGTGCTGGCCAGGTCGGTCTCCTCCACCCTCAGGTCTGGGAACCAAAGGTCACTGGGACATCCTTCCACAGCCACTGAGCACAGGGGCTCCGTGCCCCACCTGGCCTGGGCCCTCAGATGTCCCTCCACAGCGGGACGGCTGTGTTCCTCAGGGCTGCCTCCCAGCCACCACAGAGCCACCCTCGTCCCCGCGTCTCGGACGGGGACAGGTGCGGGCCGGACAGGTGCGACCACTCAGCCAGCCACCGACTGTCAGCAGTCCACCAGGCAGGCCGAGCTCAGAAGCAGATTTCATGTTTTCTTACGTACACATCTCCAGCCCAAAGTGGGGGAGCTCTGGCGGGCCCCGCCCAGACCCTCGCGCCGTCTGGAGGCACTGCAGGCGGTTTCTCTGCAGACTTTTTTAGGTGTAGGGGAGGGGGGTGGAATCCTGTTTATTTTCATTTAATTGGTCTACTGGTGAGATTGCATGTTTTTTTAATAAATGTTTTATTTTAGAATAATTTTAGATTTTCAGAAATGCTACAGAGGTGGTCTAGCGTTCCTGCCCCCACACCCACACCCAGCTGTCCCCACCGTTGACGTGTCTAACCACGGCACAACTGCACAACTGAGGAAGTAGGCAGCTAAGACGGCCTTTTGAAAGCAACCACAGCACCTAAAAGTAGTTAATAGTGGTCCCTTAGGGAACGTGTAGTCTCAGGGTTTCCTCCATCTTCGCCCCCGACCCTCAGCCTCGCCTCCCGGGAGGAGGGTGTGATCATAAACGCCCCAGACTCGGACACAGGCGTGGGAGGGAAGTAGCTGCTGCAGATCTGGGAGGCACTTCACGCCTAGCACAGTGCTTGGTCACCAGGTGGGTAGGGCCCTGTTCTGTTCTCACAGTGCCGGCTGTGCATGGCCACGAGGGTCTGGCCTGAGCTGGTGTTACCTGGACCTCACACCAGCCTTACGCAGCAGCATTTATGTGGTTTGGGGCAACAGGAGGCTTTGGGCGGCAGGAACAAGCTGGCGGTGCCCCCAACTTGCTGGGTACGTGTTTAGCCTGGAGCCCCCAGTCCAGAGGGAGGAGAGTTGGGCTCAGGCGCCCTCTAGGCAAGGAGCCAGGCTGGGATGGGGAAGGCCCTGGGTCTGAGGGACCTCAGAAGGCACACCAAAGGCTCCATGGAGGGTCACAGTTGCCAGGCAGAGGAGGGTGGAGCCTGCCTTGCAGAGGAAGAGGCAGCACGTGAGCCCAGGGCAGGGCTGAACGCAAACCCAGTAGCTGAACTCTTCCCCGCGACACTGGTGAGCCACAGAGGGTGAGTGAGCAGGGCAGGGCTGCCAGCTGGGGGTCAGGGAGACCCCTTTAGGCAACTGGAGGCACCACACCCATCCAACTGCCCCAAGACCCCCCACCCTGAACCAAGGTCCACCCAGTGACCCTCAAGCTGCCCCCAACCCCCATCCCAGCCTCTTTCAACCCCCATCTCATCCTCTTCCTGCCCCTTGGCTGTGTCTGAGGCTAAGAATAGATGTTCCCTGCCTGCCTCCCAGCAAAAACCACAGCCATGGGGGGTACATCCTGAGCCTGGCCTCTGTTCCCACCATCTGGCCCCTACCCACTCCCAGGCCATCTCAACCCCTCCCATGCCTCCTGTGTGCCCACTGAGCAGAGCAGGGGAAACAGACCTCCAGAAGGTGGTGGAACCCAGTGCTCACGTTCAGATCCTACCCACACGTGGCCTTGGACATGTCATTTCTGCTCTCTGGGCCTCAGTTTCCCCATCTATAAAATGAGCATCTTTGCCCACTGCCGTGCAGCTGTGATGAGACCCAGACATTGCAAGTCAAGTGTGCTTCTCTGACCCCTGCCCTGGCTGTTTTTCGGAAGGAACACTGTCCTTATCATGGAGCAGAGGAAGTGGGAACCGAACAGTCTTCATCTCTCACCTCCACCCCGATCTGGAGCCCTAGTCCAACATCCTCTTCTTACCACATCTGCCCTCCTTGCAGCTCCCTGAAGCCTCGCTCTCTCGCCTGTAAAGTTTTGCTTGTGTATTTCTGCCATGTCTCTTGGACCTGTGGAACTCCTACTCATCCCACAAAGCCCCAGTTCTCATACCTCCCACCAGGATGCCTTCCCAGCTCACCTTCTGGGCTCCCCTAAGCCCTGTCACTTCCTTTGGCCAAGCCCTGAACACAGGAGGCTGGGACTGTATGTGTCCAGCTCCATCTTCTCCAGCCTGGGGGATCCTTGAGGGTAGGTCTGTCGTACAGTCTATCTGGGGCTCAAAATTGTCCTACCACATTGGCTGGGACAGAGTTGTCCTTAAGGAGGGGTTGAGGGGAGCAAGACTGTCTGGGACATCAAGGCTCTAGAGAGGAGGGGGCCTCGAAGCCAGGGCTCTAACAGATGCATAGGAGCTGGGGAGGCTCCTTGTTAAGGAAGAAGAATTAGGGTTAAATGGAAGAGGGGAGGGGCCGTCTGGAGGAATGCAGAGGCCAGAAGGATAGTGGGCGGGCCGAGGGGAGGGGAGAGCAGGGTCCAGGCTGCAGTCTGTCCTTCTCACTCAGAGCCTATATTTGTGAGCCCGTCCCAGGCCCCCGAGGACTGGGAGGGGTGAGGTCAAGGCCAAGCAGCTGGTCCTGGCCCACTCCAGGCCCTAACTCGGGGCCAAGGAGGCCCAAGGCCACCCCTCCACAGCCACACTGCCCTCTTTCATCCTCAAAGGTCAACCACAGCCCCAGGCCTGTGGACCCCCTTCACCCACCTGAGGCCAGAGGACTATGGGCAGCAATGACCTTTAAAAGACTCACTTCCTGCCTCACGGTCCAGCCTCCGTGCCTTTGTTCTAGCCGTGCCCAGCCTGGTCACACCCTCTGCTTTTGCGGCTTTAGGTTAATGGGACACTGGACCAGAGCCCTGAGTGAAACTGGGGGCTTTCAAGGAAGCCGATCCTGCCTAGAGTCACTCCAAGCCCTGCTTCCAGCTCCCTGCCTCATCCTCAGACCTCTCCACAGAGAAGGGATCTGGGAGTGCTTCCCCCATCCGCACTCAGGGGCAGAGGGCACAGAACTTCCCCACCCCCACTGCTGGCATCTCTGCTTGGGGCTTTGCCTCCTCTGGCCCCAGTGCAGTCTCCCAGCCTTTGTCCTCATAGGACCCTCCCCTCACCGCGCTCGGGGCTCACCTGCTCCAGAAGAGCCTGTCTCAGCAGGCTGCCCACAAAGCTTCTGGCTGGAGAGTCTGGTTGCCCCTCCTCTCTAAACATCCCTGCACCCTAACCCCCAGCCCTGGCAGGAGCCTCAAACAAGCCCTGCACTGATTAGGCACCTACGGTGTGCCAGGTCCTACCCCACCAGGTTCATCCGCTGGAGACCTGGGCCCCTGGCCCGGGGTCTGGGTGTCCTGGGAAGCTGACCTCGCCAGGCCCCACACCTCCCCTCTCCCTCCGGCCTCGGGTGCTGCCCCGACTGTGAATAACGCGGCGCCTGGAGGCCAGAGCGCCCGGGAGGGGTCCCGGCTCGGGCAGGC